GCCTCACACCTCTTGCCAAGCTGAGTATTCAGCGTACCAGGGAGACAGACAGAGAGAGAGAGAGAGAGAGAGAGAGAGAGAGGATCCTCTCATCTGGTGAAAAACCACTTCCTATTAAGGTCACAGTCTTCAACCCCAAATGGCTGTGACACAGAGTCAGGTAAGAAAGAGGGGAGTGTGGAAATTGGTCCCAACTGAAGAGGTGACTCTTGTTTTAGAAGTGAGCACAGGGCCAGACAGGCCACCCAGTGAAAGCTGTGCACTTCACGGGGCAAGCCTAGTTTCCAGATGTGTCAGCTGGGCATGTCAATCTGGACATACAGGGGCCATGGAGTGACAGACAGTTCATGGCAGCCACGAGTGCTCTGCAACGATAAATGGTGTGTGCTCTGCTTTTGTTTAAAACCCAATAGGGGTTTGGGGAGTAAACTGAACGGGCTACAGTCACACAGCTGGACCATGTCTTCCCAGGCGCGGTGCCACGTCACTGGCCATCAAATCTGTGGAGGCGCTGTCTCCTCATTTCTTCTTCTGGCGTGAGTCGGAACCCGTAGGGTGTTGGACCATTTCTGGTATTTCCTGCAGTGAGAAACCAAAAGGGGAAATCACACACTGCCTATCCATCATTCTGACATTTATAAGGCACTGGGTACCCTAGGATTCCAAGAGGAGAAAACCAGCTGTTTTGGTGTCAAAAAGACACATGACTAACATGTTTCAACTTTAGCTGTCAATACTAATTTCAACACAGTAAATATTTTTTAGTGTGGTTCAGTCCAGGAACTTAATTTGGTCCATTCTCAGCTTCTTGATATTCAGTCCACTTTGACATTTTTCTTCTACCACATTCCATAATTCCCACCATTTAACCTTCCATGTGTCTCAAGGGTTGCTTTCATTTTTTTATGCCCAACTCAACTAACTCCTCCCTTGCCTACTGCTGACTATGCTGGATGGTTTCTCCTGCTCAGTCCTAGGGTCTCCCCTTTCCTCCTCCTAATCTACCTGTCTTACCAGACTGGGTACCAGACACACTCCTGACTGAGGTACATGAGTCCCACCTTCCTGGAGCAGAAGGGCAATACACACAATAGAGAACAGGCACAGAGCTAACTGACCCAGTGGCAGTG